TGGTTGTTCAGCTATCTTAAAGATAGACTTAGTACCTATCCGGATGAAACAAGTTTGGCAAAAGCAATAACCAAGGAGCTCAATTCGATACCGGTTGGCGAATACAAAAAGACATGTCAGAAGTGGATTGAGAGGATGACACTTTGTGTCGAGCATCACGGTGATTACTTTGAACATTTGTTATAGAGAGATCGACTGGATGTTTTTTCTATCAATAAATATTTTCAGTTCTCAGAACTTTTTGAACGCCCTAAGTATTTGAGAGTAGCAGGCAAAACTGAGTCGAATAGCATATTTAACATTCAGTTTTCGAACAAAACGTTTTCATTGAAAATTTTCTCTCTTGGTTGATGGTGAGTGTGTACTCTTTCTGATAAAAGTTTTTCTCTAAGGATCTCGAATTTTCAACAAAAAAAAGCGTCCGTAAAATAGCTGTATTTCACTGACCATTAACAGCTACCTGGTATGAAATTCATACCGTAGACAAGCTAGAGTCGTGGCTACATTTTTGTAAAAAGAAAAGATTTTCTTCTCTCTTACTGATATTTTACGGAAAAGAAATAAATCGCTTATACCTCACGAACCATCCAGCAAAAGAGGCCCAAACTTGATGAGGGATCAGCATTCGGTAAGAGCCATCGTCACACAAAATTAAAAGTCCCTAGCTATCAAGGTTTTTGAATTACAGGGGTGTCGCTACTTTTGCGGAGTAATGTAATAATTGAGAAAAAATATGTCCATCTGGCAGTATGCTTACTTTCGGTTCAGAGACTAAATAGGCCCGAAAACCTAAAACTGTCTCATCACCTGTAGTAAGTCCATTACAGAATTGCGAATGGGATTCTAATCTTTGACAAACGATAACTTACTTCGACCGAGAAAAGATAAAATGAACTCACCTGATGGTCCTGTAAGGCCAGGCATTCCTGTTGATGCTGGAAAGCCAGGCATTCCTTCTGTACCCTTGGCACCATCGTGGCCTGGTAATCCTCTAGCTCCAGGCATTCCTCCAGGCTTTCCTGGTGTACCATTGGCACCATCGTGGCCTGGTAATCCTCTAGATCCAGGCAAGCCGGGATAACCTAAAGAAATAAAGTAATTCACTTTACAAGCCGAAGTATGAGGCTCAAGTGTGACTAGAGTGCGGCAAACTAACAGGAATCTGAAAAATAGCAGCTTTGTACGAAACCACACGACGTAGAGTAGTAGATATTCCGATCGGGATATATTTTGTTTCAAAACGGGATATATATCCCAGTCGTAAATTTCTTAAGAATTGCTGCCTTGGTTCCTTTGGAATCCATGTCTTACCCGTATCACCTTTTTCGCCTTTGATTGGACCTGAAAAGAGAGAAAGTTAGTCCTGTATCAAACAATTTCTGTGTCTCGTAGATGTTTACCCATCGTTTCATTCTTGTTCTGAAGTTGTAATTCAAGTTCTTGTAGTTTCGATTCAATTAAAATTAGCTTCTGCTCCGCTGTTTCAAATGCAGTTCCGCCAGTCGTCAATAACGATTCGTATTCTGATCGTATCGGTACACTGTGTACTGAATCTGATTTTATTATGATCACACTTTTCTGAACTAACTTCAGACTGTCATTAAAATGATCCTTGTTTATTCTATAAGCTCGAATTGTCTTAAGGTTGAATCTTTCCTCACGAATTTCCATAAATTTACGAGCCTGTTTATAAAGATCATAGTTTATTTTACCGAATATTTTAGTCCAATTAGCAGAAGACGATGTCATATTTGAGTGGTGCCGTTCTAAATATGCATTTATCTCTTTTACTACACGATCTGGACGGGTACTAGCTTCATTCTCCCTCCAAAAAACCGAATCCCACTGAATTACGTCCGACATGGTCGATGACGACAGCTTTTGTCGTAAGATTTCGTTTATAAACGATTGATCGTTCAGTGAGATATAGCCAAAATCTGCTATTTCACTTAGTTCAACTACATTTAGTACTTCGGTAACAAGTTGATTCATGTCTTCTGGTAGGATATAACGAATATTTGGTGTCAGCTGTGAATACAGACGTGTTTTTATCACATGTGCGCCAGTTACGTTCAGAAGATGACGTTCATGTTTTTCTGTTTGCGTACAATACTCGAAATGCAGACCATCAAGTGCTCCCGAAACTGAGTTTTCTTTAATATTATCGTATAGTTCCTGACATGTGAGTTCATCCGTACAATCAATAAAAAAGAAAATTTCATTTCTCAAGGCTATATTTGATATCCACTGTGAACGTAATTGATAATCATCCGAAATATCTACTGAACTTTTAAATACCACACGTACTTGGTCGGTCGGAAACAT